GCCTTGGCTATGAAACGCCAGCCGCAGCATTGAATCTTGTATTTTTCTGCCTAGTACAAGCACAAAATTTAATGCCGCGGCTGGCGTTTCATAGCCAAGGCAAAAAATAACTATTGGCATATTGGTATGCATCAGAAAAGGGTGAATTCGGGCTGTCTGAAGACGGTTCTTCTTCTACTCTTACAGCGACCGTCGATCCGTTCTTGCCGACGCCTCCCGTGAAAATAATCGAAATGCTGGCCTGCGCCAACAGAACGGCAACACCGCAAGCGACGGCCATCGGCAGCAACTTCAACTCCATGTCCAACGTCGGCACCTTCAACAGTACACCATAAATACTGGTCGTGACCAGTGTTGCCGTCTCGGCGTCTCTAAATCTAGCGCTTTCAGGGTAGGCCAATGCAATATTTCGAGTCGATTTTTGACGTGAAACGGAAAACTATCGTGTTTCACATTGTTCATTTGTTTTTTTTTTAGGTAATGCAACATGTCAAAAATCTAGAGTTTTTCTGACGTCTAGAATGGCAACTCAAATTATTTTAATTTTTAAAATACAGCAACTCAAAATTATTAATGGAACAGACTATGACATACTACCTAGATCTAGTGACATTTGGGGATGTTTGTCTATGACAAGTTTCTTGACTTATTTCCTTCACGCTTAAGTAAACGAAAATAAGAAGAAAGCCGTCAGTATAATCTAACCTCAAACCTTTAACAAAAATGTAAACAAAATCCATCTCAGTATGGTGTAAATCAGGTTTACCAACACGGTTGCCAGACCCAAGTTAACAATCTCTTGGGCAAATTAAAATATCTCTGCAACTTTTCAGCAGAAATTGAAATTAGCTGTCAGCATCATTGTTATTTTGTATATACTCATAATATTATAATAGTCAATTATATAATTTTCATTTCATCAGGTATTCGGTATATAATTTTAATAATCCAATTTCCACCCATACTATTGGTTGAATACGTCATTTCAGGTACCATTGCTCAATATGATATCATAGATCTTAATATTTTAGAGCTAATCATTAGTTTTATACATAAATTTTGTAACGCTGTCCTAGCGTAAAAAACTGTTCGCAGTTTTAGCTGTGCATACATTGCTTTTATACGTAGTACCTCATGAAAATGGTGGAGGAGTCTATTTTTTCTGAACATAAATTTGTTCAAAGAATCCTCATAAACTATACAGAGCAATGAAAATTCGAATGTTGCAAATTTGCTCATTGCATAAAACCAAAACTGGATGATCAGAAATGACCCTAAATTACAAAAAAAAAAAACAGTAGCTCACTAGCAAATCATTCTAAAGTTATCTTCCACGAAATTTATGGAAAAGATTCATTACTTCATTCCAAATAGGTGCCATACTAGATATTATAACTCAAAAATAATCTGTGTTATGAATTCGAATGTCTACCAAAAACCTCGATGATTTACAACATTTGTGTTACCGATGTTGCCGCTTCTCAAAATTTCATAAAAAACGGTACCTATTTAACAAGAATTGATGTTGTAATAACTTTGTTGCTGATTTCAATTTTTCAATGAAAATCTGCGATTAAATTAATTGAAGGATGCGTAATCCAGTGGTGGAGAATTTTCTTGAAAAATTTGCAAATTTCGCAATTTTCAAGATGAAAGAAAAAACATAAATACTCTGAAAATTAGAATTAAAATTTGCAATTTTGTGTAATTCTATATTCTATTTTTTAACAACACTGAAAAAAATTTATTATTGATACCTACTATTCATAAAATATACCTGCCTAAGACAGCAAATTATCGTAAAATGTAAAAATTACAATATATTTTAGATTAACCTATGTCCTATTATGTGTGATAGTTGTTGTTGATTCGGATATGATGGAAAAATTCAAGTGAATATCTCTGAATTATTATACTGAATTGAAAAATGAGTCAGTATCTATAACTCTAGCTCCCAAAAAAATTTCCACCTATTCGGTAACCGTTAACATTATAGGAATTTCTTTTGATACGCTCCAAGAGTAGAAAAAAAAAGAATCCGAAATACTTTTTTCTTGCTCTTCATATTGTTCCTATTTTCAGATCATTTTATATCAATTGCAACAAACTGGGAACATGTGACTGAATAATTTATAATATAATGTGATGGAATTGTGGTCAGTCTGGAAGAAATCTGATTTTTGATTTTATTAAGGTATTTGACATTTTTTCCTGATATAATTGTCTCCTGCGGCGCATTTAAACCGTACAAAATTTTTGTCTGAGTTTCTTGATCCCCTTCCTGGTATACACTGAAATGGAGATGTTGTCACTCTGAAAGAAACCTAATTTTCAATTTGAAGCCATTTGACCTTGAACCCTAGAAAAATTTCGTCTGCTTTTCGCATTAAATAAATGGCGTTTCTTGTCCCACCCCTGGTATTCACTGAATTGACGCCCCTGGCTCTTTTGTGAGAATATGAAAATAAACGTCAAATTTTCAGATATCAGTAATTTTTATGCACTCATGCAATTATAACCGATAATTCTTAGCATTTTTCCATATGGCGTTCAGATACGTAATTCATATCAAAAATGAAAGAAAGGTTGATTACTTCCAATTTTCCTATGAATTTACTTATGTGATGCCTATGAATAATCAGAAATTTTCATCAGATAATCTTGGGGAAGAGGGGAAATTCAACTGCAAATGAAAACGAAAAATAATACCCACGATGATTTCTAAGTGAATGAGATCCCCATATTTATGAGAAATAGACAGTCCTAAATTGTTTAAAAAATTCAGGAATAAATGCCGGGTGAGACAGACTTATGGTAGACCTTCTCCTTTGCTTTTCTAGCTATATTTCTGAAAATCGGAACATTGAATGTGTTCACTAGAGGACACTACAGGATTTTTTTGTAATCCTCTGGTTTTCCATAATCAGTTAGGGAATATTATAACGAATTCAACGATACCGGGCATACCGGGTTTCATTAGGATATATCATATGATTACGAAGATATTCTGGTTCCAAAGTTTTCATATGCTCAATGAGTGTGACAGAGAAAAAAGTTTAGATATTGCGCCGCCAGAACCGTTGTGCATAATATGGAAACTTCGAACGGGAATATCTTCCTAATCATTTGAAATAACCCAATCAAATCCGGCATTATTGACTTCCTTATAATAATCTCTAACCGATTATGGAATGAAATACAGGGTATTCCATTTGAAAATCGGAAGTTGATGTCATTTCCAGAAAAACCGAAAGATGAAAAAAAAATCCTAAAATGTGAGAAAGTTTCCTTTAATGAGCATATTCAAAGTTCCAAATTTCAGAAATATAGCTAAGAAGACAAAGGAGAAAAGGGGGGGTATACCATGAGTCTTTGCCACCTGGTATATCTCAGTGATAAAGAATACATTTGGAATGTAAAGTCAAATTGGGGGAAGTCATAATAACCTTGGAAATGACAAATACATTTGAAATGTTTACATTTCTCATTTGAAATGCCAATCAATTCAAAAAGCAATTTCTGTTTGCCAAGGTCATTAGAAACATTTGAAATTACGGGAAATCATCCTAATCCACCGCATAGATTGAAAGTTAGCCATGTTTTCCCATAGTTTTTAATGTCATCAGAACATCATCTAATGACCTTGGCGATCAGGAAAAGGCGGATTCCTATATTTGATGGAACTGTCAACTTGAGGATGAAGATGTTATTTACAAAATAAATGAACCTATTCAGAAAAATCAATAAACCTCAATTAACTAGAAGTGCATGTGCCTATATCTTCATTTGTCATTCAACTATTTTCCTTGTTGGGAGTTGTATTTTGAATTTTTGAAAAAAGAAATGGTATTATACAGGGTGATTCAGGTTTTAAGGCACAAACTGAAATGGAAGATAGATCTCATCATTTTAATCAAAAAAGTTTATATAAACATTAGTCCGATCTCGTTCAATAGCGGAGCTACAGGGTGTCAAAGCTGAATTATTTTCTTCTATTAGTTGAAATATCTCGCTTACTTGTCAAGATATCGTTTTGAAATTCGGTGTGGACAATACTTCCTAGAAGATGATCATTTCAAGCCATCTGAAGATTTTCGAAATCTACAGGGTGATACGTTTATGGGGGTAGACGCTTCCTTATTCCCCCCAAACTTTTCCGTAATACGCCTCTGGCATCTTTCAGTAATCTAATTATGTGGATCGTTCAATTTAGAGGCTTTTTTTGCTCTTCAAGTTTTCTCGAGAAACGAACCGTTTTTGGGATGAATAGGCATATACGTTCTAAAACATGTTAATTTTGCCTGTTTCACTTAAATTTTATTCAACTGAAAAAAAAATCTTGACTTTTTACCATCTGTATCCCCAGTACTGATCCAGATTGGACTCGTGATTGCAATTTTAGTGAGTACATTTCATTGCATTTTCAAGGAAAATAAAATGTAAGCTAAACATAGGCAAAATTAACATGTTTTAGAACGTATATGCTTATTTATCTCAAAACCGGTTTGTTTCTCGAAAAAAATGGAAGAGCGAGAAAGCTTGTAAATTGAACGAACCACACAATTTGATCACTGAAAGATGCCAGAGGCGTACTACGAAAAAGTTTGGGGGGGATAAAGAAGCCTCTACCCCCAAAAACGTATCTCCCTGTAGATTTCAAAAATCTTTAAATGGCTTCAAATGATGATCTTCTAGAAAGTATTGACCACACCAAATTTCAAAACGATATCTTGAAAAGTAAGCGAGATATTTCAATTAATAGAAAAAAATAATTGAACTTTGACCCCCCTGTAGCTCCGCTAATAAACGAGATCAGACTTATGTTTATATGAACTTTTTTGATCAAAATGATGAGAAGTATCTCCCATTTCCGTTTGTGCCTTAAAACCTGAATCACCCTGTATAATCAAAGTGACCTTGCTTAGAATTATTATTAACAATGAATGGAACAATTTAGTTGAAAAATGACTGGAAATGATGTTATTCACAATCTAACTTACTGCAACAGTGGATCCATTTTTGCCAATACCACCAGTGCAAATAACTGTCAGGCTGCTATACAATGCCACAAGTCCACAGGCTAATGTACTGATAGGAATCAGATACCAGATTTGAAAATTATCACTAAAAAACTATTGGAACTCTGTTAAAATGGAAATCAATCCAAAATATAGGGAAATCTCGAGTTTTATGTATGCAGAATCTGGAAGTGACATTTCAGGGGATCTCACTCTATCACAAGTTTAAAAATAACTCAAAATAATAGAATTATAATAATCAAGGGAAGATCTGAAATGCAACCTATTGAACAATGCTTTGTCACTACCCCTTCATGGGTAAAATATTGAACACAAGAAAATTGAACCAAATGTGGGTTATATGGCAATATTCCCTCTAAATCAATATTAATCTCAAAGCCAAATATATAATCCAAAAATATCTCAACACCAGTATCAATCTTCACAAATAAGTGTCATTATTCAATGGCCTTTTGTAGAAAATCTAAAAATCTATGCATTTATTGCTAGGTACTAGGTATCAAAGAAACTTACCTTCATAGACCACATACTTGGGCCAAATATGGTAGACAATAATAATATCCCCATAATAGTAAACTGTGCTTCAGTAACATCAATTTTTCCAAATCTCAAGGTTCCTGATACATAAGTCTGCCAATGTGCACAATAGAATAATGTAATAGCACAGAAACACTACAAAAAAATGATATAGTTCAGGTGAAAATGAAAGTTGCTGAATTGCTTCAAACCAAACTCACTTGGAAGAACATCCATCCTGGATAATTTCCCAGTTGTATAGCTATACAAGCAGAAAGTGCAACAAAAACAGTGGAAATTGAATCACACCCATGGTCAAACAATTCTCCCAAAGGGTTTGCAGACCCTGTCCTTCTAGCTTGCTTGCCATCAATTGCATCCAAGCTCTGGTAAGTAAACAATCCCAAGGCACATAGGGCAAAGGACCATCTTGGAGGCTCAGATCTTGCATCAGGAGAGTACCTAGAATGATTGTTGAGATGCCTAGGTACTTTTCAGCAGTTATAAATATATAATTACCATACTAATATTAAGGCAGTGAAAATATTGATCAACAATCCCAAAATTGTGATTAAATTGGGGGCTAGCCAAATAGGTAGTTTCAGCACCAACCAACTCCAATATGGTTGTAAAAGTGTATCCAAAATACTAACGCTCTGGCAAGAATACTGATGTTCACCTAACTTCTTCAGCTGAGATTCTGACAAAATCTTCTGTCTATAAAGCTTCATCCTGCTGAATTGTTGTATTTTAGCATTAGCATTGAAAATAGGACAAGAGTATACAACCTGTTAATAACTAGTGGGTATTATTGAATAGTACTGGCGAATTGATAGGAATACTCTGGAACAGTCTAATAAAACATGATTCAATTTCCAGATTTCACTTTCATTTTCTTCAAAAATCGTACGATAAAATGACAAATCTGGTGATGATTTTGATTTGCGAAGTTGTGACAAATGATATGTAAATCAATCTAACCTCAAAATATCACAGAACACATAGAACCACGAAAATATAGAAAACGTTTGTCATTGACTATAATATAATAGGCCATACCCAGATAACTTTGGCTCCAATGGTTCAGTTCCATTATTGTTATAGCTTCTGTTCCTTATGGCTTATGGCACCAATGATAGAAAAAGAAGAGATCAATTTTTTTCGGCGGTTTTTGAATTTTTGGGGTCTAGTATGTCTAGTACCTATATAGATCTTGGGCTCTGCCTCTTTCCTAGCTGGAATGTTACAGGTTCAAGAGTTCCAGAAACTAGTCGAGGTTATGCCCAGGAATCTCGTAGAGTAAAAATCAAGAATATGCTCTTCGAAGATCCCATGTGTATTATCTCACCATGCAATGCATATATGATCAGTTCTCATTCCATTTTTCCCATACTCATCCCATCCCATTTGATACCCATTTATCTACCTGTTTACAAAAATTCCAGTCAAAATGGGCTTATAAATAAACGTTCATGGCTATGAAAGCCCACTTCCAAGTAGATATATACCCATTTAAATTTTATCACTGTGACTGAAAAGTGGCGTGTAAGAACAGAACCAAATAAAATAAAACTTAACAAAAAAAGCCAAATTGAATATTAGCAGTGTTGAAATCAACAGCGATTACCAACTCCAAGGACTGAGGTGGACAAGCACAAACTAACATGCAATATATGGGGGCGTAAAATGAAAAAGTTGTTACTCAATACAGGCATTTATTTATTTATTTATTCATTATAAACAATAATAATAATAAAGTCTATAAGTTATATCAACATATCTTCTTCATATAAGTGTAAAGTGCTATATGAATCAATTTCAAAAATAAATAATACAAATTATGAATAAATGAAGCTCAATAAAGACCCAGCTAAATTATAACATTTTCTACAAAGATGTGCAAAACAAAAAAATATATAATAAGTATTAGGAAGACCACACTGGTTATATTATCTATTCCAGTAATATTCTCTCAATGATTTTTATGAAATGACATCTATCAGAACTCAGTGAATTTTTCATACTGTACAGGGTAGTTTATATCGATCGATCCTACAAAAATTATTTGAAAATGAAATGAATAGGCCCTTTCATCTCGATATATTTTTAAGACGCATTCGCTCGTTCTTAGATCCAAAAATTTATTGGGTCATGCGAAGGTGAAGTCTCATTGGCTATGGTTACAACACAAAATGCTGATTGGCCATTTCGAATATGGCGGGTATTATTGACGTTCTGCCAAATGTCAACAGTGTCAACCACCATGGGCATTGGTCATTGAGAAACAACAATAACAACATAGTATTTTTGTTTCTATATTCCTGGTGTGTATTAATTGTATTATAATTCAATTCCAAAAAACGTTACTCATTCGTTACTGAGGAGTGTGATACTGTGGTGTAAGTGTTTCGGTAAAAATGGCAGCCACTGTCGTTGGATGCGAGATCTAAACAGAGATAGTCATTTGTAATCTAAACGAAAAGGCCTATTCGAATACATGGGTCCAAGAAAACTCGTAGAATTTACCAGAACAATTATCAAATCACCATGTATAATATTAATGAGCAATTTGTTCGGCGGATATATCACTGATTTCTGCTAGATTAACATTACAAATTTAATGTATTCTAATACGGGGGCCCCGGTAATTCGTTGTTACAAGACAACAAAAATGTGAGATACAAAAATCATTACCGACAAGTAAAATCAGTTCTAGTAAAGTAATAGAATTTCTTGTCATATCATAACTTGATATTTATATCTCACCGTTTTCAAAATAAATGAACCTTCTGGATATGATATGAATCAATGAAAATGTCAAGGTAAATGTAAACAAGAATGCTCCAATAAAAAAAGTATTGGTACCTGACATCTCTGTAGTTCATGCCCATTGTTCAAAACAATGAAAAAAAAAAGTTCACCGAGCATTTGTTCTCAAGGATATTATCATAATTCAAATTTCGAGAAGTAGAAGTTTTACGTTTTACAAGCATCATTTTCGCAATAGAAAACACAAAAAATACTAAAATATTATTAGGAAGGGGTTAAAATTCGAACATAACAATTGACAATGCTTGATCAATCTCCAATCACATTTGGTGGGAAGCACGATGCATACTTATACTTATATTTTTGTGAGCCTATCAAAATCTTCGTTTTCAGCTCTGACAATGAAAATACTAGATGGGTCAAGTGTAACCCAAGTTTGTCTACCCCGATTATCTCAAGACTGAAATATATTCCTCAAATTATTTACACTAAACTTGATGGATTAGTGACATCTCTACAGTGTGACCAAGATGAGGTAGCTCAGCAGGGGAATCTCATAAACGGTAGGAGACACGATTCCGGTTAAATGGAAAAAAGTTGGGCATTCAGAGACATTGATGATGGATAAAACTAGGTCGACATACATTGAAACCACTTTGTATAATTCATGGTTGTATTCAGAATAACACATAATCAGGACCATATTTAAAAAAATAGGTTGATGGTTTTTCAAATACGTAATAGAGAAATCAATATCGACATGTTAGATCTTATCAAAATTTGCTATGGAAAAGTATTTTCCTACAACTGTCAAAAAGACTGCACTTTTTAATATATTTTTTCTACTACTGCTATGAAAAGTAGCGCATGTATTGCTCATACTATGAGAAATATTTTTTCTCACGGAAATTTGCCAACACCACAAACATTTCCATGGAGAATCAACAAAAATCTACCAAAACTTAATTGGCTGCTGTTCAGCTTTGAATAGTTGTCACAACTATCAGAAGAAGTTTTTTAAATTCTTTAGTTCTCATTAGTGCTTTTGATAGAAATCACATTGTCCATCAAATATTATTCCAATCATTCATAATAAATAATATGATGTATATACCAAGATGTGACGATTTTGATAAATACACCGCCAGAGACAGAGATAATGGAAAAAGCTGCGAAAGTTGGATTTGTTTACGAAAATTTCAACAAAGAAGTATGAATTGGCATTTACGGAAAATGTATGGAATCTAAAAAAAAATACAGAAATAAAATCTTTTTCGGAAAGTGTACTTTTTTGAAATACTTTGAGGAACTAGGAAAGGTATCTACTCTTTGGTCACTATATCCAATGTGGCATAGTGCCACATTATGAAATGAATTCCAATATTTACATTACTTTGGATTCTTCGAATAGGTGCAGTTGTAGAAAAAGTATAGTGTGCAACATGTGGAGAAAAAGTACTTTCTCACTCTCTCACTTCCAGGCTCGTGCCACATACTTTCACACTCGTGAGAAAAGTTGAACTTGCCCCACTTGTTGCACAATATACTATTGTGTGCCTGAGGTGTACAATTCTTCAATATCGAAATACTTTTTCATTATTTTACGGCTGCAAAATGGTCGTTTTTGCTAGCCATACACCACACACTTCGGGTTTTTTGTAGGAACATACTTGTTCGAAGAAGAACACAGTCTATGGGCTCCTTTACGGGATTCAGCAAGGCAGCAAGCGAACAAATCAAGGCGGCTGATTTCGTATGATCTAATCAGTATCGGTGAATGCGAGCGAGATGAGCGATTTATTCAAATTAGCCGAAGGTGGCTCTGGCCATTTCCTTAGAAACCAGGTGTTGTCAATAAAGTAACATGAAATTAGCAAATGTACTAAAGAATGATTGCGGAATATCATTGTATCCTTTACATCATACGTTGAATGAGGTTGTCCTCTTTTTTGACAGTTGTAGGAAAAATATTATGTAACACGTGTGTAAAGTGCGTACTCGTAAAAAAAGTACCACTTTACATAGTACAAACTTGTTACATAAATAACTATTTCAGTTTAGTTAGTATAACCAATAACAACGTGGAAAAATCAAATAGATTTTCCAAAAATTCACATTTTCAGATATAATTGCAAAAATTATTAATAACTTGGGAAATTTCGAAGGCCGTTCTCATCTTGATCACCCTGTATATTTCGAACTGAATTTGGATTTAGAAATGCACGACCTCCACCAGTACTACAGTTTTAGTTTGCGAAACCCCATGCGCAGGCCTAGACCTCAACTAGATGGAATGTTAAAAGTGTAGGAGCGACATCTACCAACTTGAAAAAATAAAAACAAAAGACGAGGACCAATCGGATAGCTCGAAAGGGTGGTTTTTAGGTGCTGGGTTGTTTCGTGTTGGGCGATTGGACAATGCCGAGCGCATTGAACAATTTCGATTTCAAGCCAGTCCTTTCAGTGTCTGGGGTTCTCGCTGTGCCTGGCTGTTAACAATACCACGTTTCAGAAAAAAATCGATTAAATAACGGAAAAAACCTACCATCATACCCACATTCTCGAAACATTCGAAGAATTTTTCATTCACACAGATTTTTCACCATTTTGGTAAAACTGTATTTACCATGCGATGGGATTTTTTTCGAAAAGTTTTTTTGTACTTACGTATTTTTGTCTCAAAAACACGAATTTGATAATGAAAATGTAAACAAACCACTATGTATCGAGATATTTCAAGTTAAAAAGATCGAAATTTCGCCTTCTTTCTCCCCTTGTGTTGGATGCATTTACAGCTACTTGCACTTCTTATTTTATCATTGGACACTTTATATACTCATGATGTACTCCAATGATACATTTTTATATAGAAAACTCAACAGGAAATATGATTTTTTCTCTGTGACGGGAAAAAAGTTCAGCATTTCATCTCTGTTGGCAGGTTATAAAATGTAACTTTTTATAAATTACTTTTTTCCCGTGGGAAAAAAGTGAGTACTTTTTTCCCGGATATATATCACATATATACAATGTGTCCACCTTAAGGACTTACCACCCCTGTAAAATTGTTATTATCTGACCGATTTCAAAGAACTTTTTTTTGTTGGATAGGTATTTGAAATGTCTATCCAACAAGAGAATGATTTTACTCATGAACTGTAATCGTGGCCAACTGCGACCAACTTTATTGACCCATATTTGATAAAGTACTATTAGGGATTTTTTTTCACGAAAAACAATGATGGATTCTGAATCACGATCACTTGAAAAACACCTTTACTGATTTTCATCATCATAAAACCGAAAAAAACGAATTATGTTTTTTTCAATAGGTGATCAGAATATGTAGTATTGTGGTATTTTTGAGAAGAATTGATGACACATTATTATTGAGGATCACTTTGAACATATCTGTACCGATTTTCATCATTCAAAAATACGATGTGTATGAGAAAACAATTAAAAAGGAAAAGTAGCCAATATTTTTTCATGAACTCAAAAAAAATATCAATTTGATTTTTCGAACACCCTGTGTTTAATGATGATGAAAATCGGTACAGGTATGTTCCAAGTGATCCTGATTCATCTTTCTATTTTGAGTGAAGAATTATCAGGATGAAAAATATTGCTTACCTATCCTTTTTAATTTTTTTCTCAGACACATTGTATATTCAAATGACGAAAATTGGTACAGGTATATTTGAAATAATCCTCAATGATAATTTGTGATTATTTCTTTCTAGAAAAACCACAGAACTACATTTGCAGATCACCTATTTGAAGAAAACGATGATTCGTTTTTTCGGACACCCTGTGTTTTATGATGATGAAAATCGGTACAGGTATATTTCAAGTGGTACTGATTCAGAATCCATCATCAAATTTCGCGGAAAAAAATCCCTAATAGTACTTTCTGGAATATGGGCCATTGAAATTTGTCGCAGTTGGCCACGATAACAGTCCAAGAATTAGATCACTCTCTCGTTGGATGGGCATTTCAAATACCTATCCAACAAAAAAAAGGTTTTTTGAAATTGGTCGGATAATAACTATTTTACAGGGGTGGTAAGTCCTTAAGGTGGACACACTGTATATACACTGTTGATGGCTTTTGTTGTGCTATAGTTCCTAAAAATGAGTCAATAATACCGTCTCCGAGAAAGAACTGCAAGTCCTTTTATCTTCCATTCGACTTCGCGGTTACGTATATTACTAAAAAATCACTAAATTCGCAATTTTTTGAAATCAAATCACAGAATTAGACTGACAGAAGTGACATCAGATATTTGATTACTTCAAAAGAATAATAAAGATGCCTACAACGCAGGTGTCCCTACTGTTAAAAACTTAAAATTTCACGTCGATAATTTTCAGATTTCAGAATAATGTGATATCTTCTCAATATTGATTCGTCCTTTCTTCTGTCACAGAAAAAAATAGTGTATTATACACGGGAAAAATCTACTACTTTCTTTTCCTTGCATAATAAATAACTATTATGGCGAGTTTTTCCTATTTAGTGAACAAGCATACCAGATGACGACCATTTAATCATTCAATCCAAATACGAGATGTCAAATGTCAATAGATTGCTTTGGAATGACATTACACACGCCATTATTTTAAATAATATTCTTCCTTCTTTTCACTAAATATGGATAAATCTCAAGGAAATCATATTTCTAGTTGACTCAATAATAGAAAAAAATGTGTCTCACATTGTGATATACAGGGTGTTTCATAATTGAATGCTGATTCTTAAGGGCGATAATCCTTGGATGATTTCAAAGAGAAAAGTTCATATCAACATATGTCCTAAACCTCTTAGTTATTGAGCTACAGGGTGATGAAATTTCGATAAAAAAATGAGTTTTTCATCATAATTTTTCATCACTCTTAGATATTGTTATGATATTTTTCCTTATTAAGGAGCATTCTTTCACGTGAAGGATATTTGAAAATTCTCCCCAGTGGCGTCCGTACGGGGTTTGAACTGACAATTTTTGAAGAAAAAAATAGTACGCCACTTATTTTTCTGAGAACCAGATTTTTTTTTCAATTCTTATTCATTTTGCAGCAAATTTGGTTCCTAGACTTACTTTCATACAACGTACCGTTTTCGCGTAAAAAAATAAAAACCAAAGAATTTTGTTCCTCCAGTTCTTGGATATTGTTTTTGGTAATTTAGTAGACACCCAATATAAGTGGAAACACATTTTGTTTTGGGACGAAAATCAAACTTTTACTTTTACCAGTGATGTCCTCGTAGACCTGATATTGAATGTTTAGTTTAAATAAACGCTGTACGCTTCTGATTTCAACACCCTGTAGCTCAAAAACTAAGAGGTTCAGGAGATATGTTGATATGAACTTCTCTCCTTAAAATCATCCAAGGATCATCGATCTTTAGGATCAGTATTCAATTATGAAACACCCTGTATATAAATTGTCCAAAGATGAGAAAAGAAGGGAAAATTGTTCTAAATGCCATCCAGAAGACAGGCGGAAAAGAAGGTGAAATTTGTAACTTTATAGTCAAATATCCTAATAAATAATGGTTTGTTCACATTCTCATTATCAAATTCGTGTTGTTCAGACAAAAATACGTAAGAACCAAAAAAAATTTTCGGAAAAAAACCCATCGCAAGATGAATGCAGTTTTACCGTTATTTTTTCAAGTGAAATTAGGTGGCTAAGGCATGGACTAGGAAAAATGGAGAATGACGAATAAATGCCAAATGGCCATGCAAAAGCACCATAATCATTCTTTTTTGGAAAAGGCTTTCTCATCCAAATTTTGCCTGGCCATCTAACTTGATGGAGTTGATAAATGCTTCAGTAATAATATTAATATCAACAAGATGCAAAAACAAAGAAAAACAAAAGCAATAAAACGACTGTGACAATAGACTTACCTCCACCAAAAACCAAAGTAATGATCTAGTCTAGAAGTCTCGATATATTTTGTGCCGATTGAAAATAAGATTGGGTGTGCAAAACAGGTATGGCATTTATTATTTAAATAAAAATTATTGATTTTGTTGCACATCACCATTTATTCAACAGAAGCGGGAATATTTTCATATATTTCATTACACCACAAACATCTAACATTATTCAATACAATTTCATTGCACAAAATTGATGTTGAGACATTTTGAAGAAACAGAAAAATAGTTCAACTAAAAAAGCTACATTTAGTTTGGTATCGAGCATATGAACCAATAATAAAAATTCATTTCAACTACTTCTAGATTATTCATAAATAAAATGTAGGAAAACACTACCGAAATCATTATCACGTAAAAACATACGAGGTGGTGTCTAAATTAAAATGGTGCAAGCACTAATTTACTTTTGATTCAATTATTTGAATAACTTTATTTGACAGTCCAACATAACCACCGCCGTATTGATTGAAATGCTTACACCATCTCAGTATAAATATAGAATCATTTACGGAAATTTCCACTTGACCACAAATTATCACGGATTATCTTTTGTATACAGGGTGCTGTGGAATTCAACAATTCACAGTTGATAAAGCCTAAGAAACAAAGGTCCTCAAGTGGATATTTCAAGATATGCAGGGTGTTGTTGAAGTTCAGGAATAGAAGAACGGTTGAATTGTTTTCACTCTATTTTCAATTTTTAGCGATACAGTCTTTTTGGATATTTCATACAATGATGAAGCCACAGGGCGTTGTTGTAACTTTTTCTCCCATATTTTCTACGGCACTGATGACATTTAGATTATTTTCAAATTTTTGAATTCCCTGTTCAATTTTGTTGAAAAAATGCATAACCTTGGACTGAACTAAAATGATGAACAACTTTCAATATTTTTGTTACAAAATAGGAGTTTGATAATAGAGAATTACATAACAGATTATTTTCCTCCAAGAGCTTACTAATACTGTTCAGCTGAAAAATGAGACTTGAAACGTGTTTTACTTCATATTGTGTTAGAAGGAACCATGAGAACAGTTACATTCAATGTGCATCTAATGATGTACAAATAATGCATAAAATATCGAAAATCTATCATTTCATCACTTATATACAGGGTGTTTCAGTTTTTTGTAGCAGGACTCTAACAGGTTGAAGAAGACATTTTTTCAAGATGAAAATCTCATGCAAACATATATGCGTGGAAGCTTCGTTTCCGATTTACAGGGTGTCAAAGTTTCAGATTTTTTTTGTTTTTTTAATTTTCTCCTATTATTTTCGGAATAATTGATTGAAATTCACTACACCTAATACACTTCAAAAACTCAATATTCGAGGCTATTGAGCGTTTTTGAATACCTACAGGGTGATAGACTTTCAGGGGTCGTACCCAATTTAACCCTGTAGAACTTTTTTGCGTGCCGTCTCTGCTTTCAATGGGACATAGATTCAGATTGTCCTTTCAATTTGGAAACTTTTTGCCCCTATGTGAATTTTTCGAAAACTGTATGGATCTCGAGATAAATGCCAAAAATAAATTACTTGTAATGAAACCGTTATTTCTCAAACATACTTATTTGACATTTCTCAAACATTTTATTGGAAAATAGAATGACAGAAAGCTTCCATACCAAATGAAATTCAGTTGCAAAATTAGATTGAATTTTTTGAACACCATTATTATAATTAAAACTAGGAAAAACAAAGAAAAAATGTTTTTATTCAAAAAAACTTCTCTAACTGGATTGCAAAATCTGAAGTTGTATTGTAGAAAATTCTAGGACACCCTGTATAACTGAAACTGGTTAAACTTTCGACATCAGGGACTGTTTGACACACGATCTAGGCGCTATACATGGCTAGACTGTCGCTTCTGATGGTTGAGGTGTTGTGAGTTTTAATAATTTAATCTCGTAAACGGCAATTCTAATTTTATCAGTACCTTAAGAAGAGGTTCGGACTCCACTTTTATTTATCTCGAAATCCATACAGTTTTCGAAAAACATACATGGGGGCAAAAAGTTTCCAAATTGAAAGGACAATCTGAATCTATGTCCCATTGAAAGCAGAGACGGCAAGCAAAAAAGTTCTACAGGGTTAAATTGGGTACTACACCTGAAAGTCTATCACCCTGTGGGTATTCAAAAACGCTCAATAGCCTCAAATATTGAGTTTTTGAATTGTATTAGGTGTACCAAATTTCAATCAATTATTCCGAAAATTGTAGGAGAAAATTCAAAAACACATACAAAAAATCTGAAACTTTGACACCCTGTAAATCGGAAACGAAGCCCCCACGCATATATGTTTGTTTGAGATTTTCATCTTGAAAAAATGTCTTCTTCAACCTGTTGAAGTCCTGCTACAAAAAACTGAAACACCCTGTATAATTACAGATCTTTTTTGTCAAAGTGAACTTGACATTTCAATGAGAATTTTGATGGCTGGCAATTATTCGAAAAAAAAATGTTTTGAAGAAAATAAAAAGTCCGTTTTTTGTTATTTTCGTATTTTGTTCACGTAAATATTTTTTTTCAAGTGAATTAATTCAGAAAAGTCGGAATTAATTCAAAAAGTCGAACTTAAATGACTTATTCCAACCCTGCCTTCTGATCAAAAATTGACCTATCTTATGATGAAGTTGAACTATTTTTATATCTAAACTTCAACACGCTGTATTTCGGGAGCTGAACACTTGGCAATATTCAGTCTCAATATGAGTATTATGAAATCCCGAGTGTTATCACCTGTGACCTAATTGGCCGAATTTCACAACACCCTGTAGAGTTGATCAAAGCTTGATAATTTTTATGGAAACCACAAAAGTTGTAATGAAAATGAACGAAATATTTAATAATAATACTGAAAAATGTATCAATTAATTATTAGTATGCCAAGGAAATTTGAAGATTATTGATATACAGGGTATTCCAGAGTTGTGGTGACAAATGCCTAGGGTTGATTCCCCTCAAAAAAATATGAAAAAAGTCCATATTGGACTCATATAATAGAAAAAAAAAGTGTCATTGAAGTACATTGTGATATATAAATTGTCCAATGATGAAAGAAGAGGGGCTAATTGTTCACTTTATAATTATGGTTTGTTCACATTTTCATTATCATGAACTTTTTTACATATCTTGTTGAAAAGAATCTCCCCTCAATGCTTTTGTCACCACAACTCTGAAACACCCTGTATATTTTTCAATATATATCGAGAACATCAATCTGAAAATTAAATTGAAATATGAAATCTTCTCATATTCAACTAACTTATTTTGATTTAATTACTTGTCCACTACTTTAGCGTCAAACGTTCAAATTTTCCTTGGATCGAACATTACTATTCTAAAAAAGTTACAATGAGTTATAGCTTAGTCCAATCTCATTTGTTACTCACCTCTTCCCCATCATACGCCATCTCCAGGGATTCCCTGGAACCCCTTCGCGAAGTTTTCTCTTTCAAGTTTCCCAATTTCCGCTTGTCCTCGCCCAGAATGTTCCTCGAATGTTTCACGATATCCAGAGCCTGATAATAATTAGTTATATAACATGGTAGTGAAAATTATCAAACATACAACATGATTCGCTAACACAGTAGCTTCGTCAGGTAATATTCTGGTACAATGAACTAACCTTGGCTTGCTCAACTTTTATATATCCTACTTTCCCAATCTGAAGGATTAGTTACCTGTGGACAGGTTCGATAAACCGCCATTTTGGGAAATTATGCACAATATCTACATTAGAATACGATGTACCCGATTAACTTGAAAGAGTTGATAGCAAATACATATTATTACTTACTAAGAAAACAAATTCAACAGTGGTGAACTATTGATGTCTAATTGATCATTGAGTAGAATGTCAAAATTTTTGAGTTTGTTGATTTCTAATGATTCAAAAATGATTGAGTTTCAGTCCTTTATTTTCCACGTGCAGAATTTCGAAATTATCATCAAAACTATGGTTTTCTTCTAATACCTACCTATATGGTTGGCGTATGTTGAATTTGTTTTCTTTTAAAAAAAATACATCTCATGTTCATGAATGCGCTGATTAAACGTACGACCTGTCTGACCGATATATTCCTTAGGACAAGATGCACAGTTGAGTTTGTATACCCCTGATTTTTCGAATTTAGAAGTTTTGTCTTTATTATTCTTGATAAACCGTCCCAACGTGTTATTTGTTCTATATGCCACTTTTAAGTCCTGTTTATGTAGGTGTTCCGTCTTCACCCTTTTCTTGTTTGTATTTGTCTAATTATTATATTTTTTTTTGTTTCATTAAATGAATCAATATCGCGAAAATAGGCAGTGTTTCATATTCTGTGCGTAAATATGGAGCGTGCCTCGAATATGCTCAGAAGTTTCTTCGGGGCAGTACTCGATCGAAGAATCGATGCATAGACTAATACACTCCCTCGAAGAAAGATCAGTTTTGACTGAAGTTTCGCTGGCCAGCTCGGGTAGTGTTAGGAATAGTTTTGGTTCCTCACCTCCACCTATGAAGCCATAGATGAATTCTACTTGCACACAGGTAAGAACCACAGCCTCGTCATTTGCTGTCTCTCATTCAAACAATAAATAAGAATAAATTTCGGATAACGGAACGATCTGAGACACTTCAAACCTATGAAAAATACAGTCCACTTTTCAATCAGCTACATGTTTTGGTCCTTCGAGCCGGATGACGCTAATTTTTCAGTTGATGTTCCGAAATAGGTTAAAGTTCTATCATTTTGATTATTATTCTTGATGGTAGGATAAACTTCTTGAATAGCTTTATTATGGAGTTTTTTAGAAAGAATACTGTCTATCAAATCAACGTTGTATCCATTGTTGACTGCAATCTGTTTTAATATATTGAGTTCTTTATAGAATAGCCTGTGTATTATACTATTATAGACCTCTATAGTTCACCACTGTTGAATTTGTTTTCTTAGTAGGTAATAATATGTATTTGCTATCAACCCTTTCAAGTTAATCATAAGTACACAAAATTCTAATTTAGATATTGTGCCTAATTTCCGAAAATGATGGTTTATCGAACCTGTCCACAGGTAACTTATCCTCCAGGTTGGGAAAGTAGGATATATAAAAGTTAAGCAAGCCAAGGTTAGTTCATTGTACCAGTATATCACCTGACGAAGCTACTGTGTTAGCGAAACATGTCGTGTGTTTAAGAATTTGTCATGTTTACAAATCACTGTGGGTCATTATGAAATTCCAATTCTTATTAGGTAGGGATAAAAGGCAAATGTAACTTACTTGTTGTGTATGCTGCAGCAGAAAAAAATAGGAAAATGTTTCTTAATAGATTATCCAATGAGTTGACATGAGTATGCAAAACTATTAACTGAACTTTTCAACAATAAAAAAATTTTTTTTTTCTACAAACGCTTTACAAAGTAGCCTTTGACGCTTTCAAATTCCAACACAAAGTTGACGTTTCCCCAGAAATGTCATTCATTGACAGCATTTGCGCTCGTGGGAGGAAATATTGAAAAAACGCTCGCATACAATACGATACATTCATAAATTATTGGTGCCACTCCGAGAAGAAGTATTCAGAAAACGTTTTACTGGCTTATATTGGTGAAAAATCAAAGACTTTGAAGTCGTCAACTCATTGGTCTATATATTCGATGAGACGTATACATGCTTGAATGTTAATATCGGAATCAATATCCGAAACTTATCGCATTTCTCAAGAAACAATCTATTGGATATTAAGCGAAAAAATCCAAAACCTTCACCGCTGAAGATACATATAAAGCAACAAATTTTCACAAAAACCTCCCAATGAAGAATATCTGTTAAAAAAGATTGATTGATTGATTGATTGTCTTTATTACCCCAAGAAACATAGTTGTTTATAATAGGGATACATAAACATTATACAAATTATAATAAGATATAACAAGTTAAAAAAAAAAAATGCAAATAATCATGCAATATCAACCTAGTATTTTATAAGTAGGTATTCAAATAAGAAATGGAATTATCAAAGTCTCTGAAGCAGATAAATTATACTTTATATTTAAACTCTTTGTCATCATCAGAAAGACAGTGTATCTATGTTCAATTTGATTGCAGAGTTTATTGTACCATGGCTCAGAGGTCTGAAGCTCAGGTTGCCATGCTGGTGGTCCAGTTTCAATTCTCGGTAGGTCCGACATTTTTTTTTCTGGCTTGTCATATATTTTGAGTTTATTTTGTTCTTTTAGGACATATGGGATAATTATGGATAAGAACTATTTCCATCGCTCATACTTTCAGGGCAGTTATTTCCAAAAGCTACGTTAGCAGAAAAAATCTTGTGTGTATTTCGAGCAGAAAGTGTCATTGCCGCTCTCCAAAGACTTTCTTTGTCGAGCGGTAATCTATCACTTTGCGCTCTGAATACACAAATAGCTATTGTGTATTCTGAGCACAAAGTATCACTTTGCGGTCTGATCAAACAATAGCTATTTGTGTATTTAGAGCGCAAAGTGATAGATTGCCGCTCGACAAAGAAAGTTACCGCGCGATGCGGAGCGGAGCGCGGTAATCTTTGGAGAGCGGCAATAACATTTTGTGCTCAAAATACACACAAGTTTTTTTCTACTAACGCAGCTTTTGGAAATAACTACCCTGAAAGTATGATCGATTGAAATAGTTGAAAAAGTTCTTATCCATATTATCCCATATGTCCAAAGGAAACAAAAAAAGAAAACAGGAAATAACTGACAAGCCAGAAAAAAAATGTCGGGCCTACCGAGAATTGAAACTGGACCACCAGCGTGGCAACCTGAGCTTCAGACCTCTGAGCCATAGTACGATAAACTCTGCAATCAAATTGAACATTACTCATTGATGCAATAAAATAAAGATACACTGTCTTTCTGATGACAACAAAGAGTTCAAATATAAAGTATAATTCATTGTTTTCAACAGATATGCTTCATCGGGAGCTTCTTGTAGAAATTTGTTGGTATATATCTTCAGCGGTGAATGTTTTGGATTTTTCTCGCTTTATATCCAATAGATTGTTTCTTGAGAAATGCAATAAGTTTCAGATACTTATTGATTCCGATATTATCTTTAACATTCAAGCATATATACGTACCATCGAATATATAGACCAATGAGTTGACTTCAAAGTCTTTGATTTCTTACCAAAATAAGCCAGTAAAACGTTTTCTGAATACATATTCACCATCTCGGAGTGGCACCAATTTATGAATGTATCATATTGTAATTCATATTTCTTCCTTGATTTCTCCGGTAAGAGATTCAAACTCTTGCGCTTTCTGCTATATCGGGAGGTGTGTTTGATGATTCACTGTCACTATTTTCCATCATGAAAGAATTGGGAGTTTTCAAGAATAGATAAGTATAGGTTACAGAGATGTGCGAGCGTTTTTTCAATATTTCCGCTCACGAGCGCAAATGCTGTCAAAGAATGACATTTCTGGGAAAACGTCAGCTTTGTGCTGGAATTTGAAAGCGTCAAAGGCTACTTTGTTAAGCGTTTGTAGAAAAATAGCTATTATTAAATAGAGCAGTAATTTCAGAGAAATTTCATACCTCTTTTCTGCTCCTCAGGGCACAATCTTCTAGCGTTTCGGCGGCCTCGTATTTCCCTTGTCGCCTATAGAGGGCGCCGAGATTTTTCAAGGTGGTGGTTACCGTAGGAGAATCGACTTTGGCGGCTTTGTGCCATCCCCCGTATTCTCCGTAAGGGGCGTTTTCTTTGTTTTTCGCCTTGTTCTCTTCTCGTTCTTCCGCTACTTGCCATATCGGTTTATTTTCGTCTGCAAAAAAAGAACGAAATGTAAATCAAACGTTTTCACAGCAACAACTTGGAATTTGGAAAAACAATCATATTTCCGAAAAATTCTGGTGATTTAAGGAAAATCTAGTGTAATTTCTAATGTATTGAGCTGATATTTGAAACAAGAAATAAAGTTCAAGTAAGATTAAGTGGAAAAAGTTTTATATTTCGTTCGAATTTAGCATGTTCGAAGGATATGAAGTCAATCAAGTAATTTGCAGGTATACAGATGAACAACAAAATGTATTGTTTACTGAAAAACAATACTATCTCATATTATCTAAAACTCAATGATAACAATATGGTCAAGTAGTGATATGAAAGTACTGCAATTTCATAATAATAGGTGCATAAATAAAACTCGTTGCTTTCCTTATTATAATAATCGATAGTCAGAAGTTTGATTTAGTTTTTTAATTCGTAGTTGGAATAAATACTCAAAATTTGGTATAATGAAATGAAAGATAGACTAGGGGCCAGGTAGCCAAATAATAGAAGCGTTAGTATCCTAATCACGATGGCTTGCCGGTCGTAGGTTCAAATCCCCGACTGCTGACATTTTCCTGATGGCCCAAGAAAGTGTTTGGGATCACTCTCGGGATCACTCATTAAAAGGTAAGGTGTTTTGATATATCAATTTTTCATAAAAAATAGCCATTGTACACAAAAAATTATACCTCTGAGCCTATTTGTTCAGAAACCAAGTTTGTGTAGTAGTTAGATGAAAGTTGTAGCCAATTTTGTATGACATGTGCACAGACGATTGCCAAATAATATGGCCATCAAAAATTACCAAAAAGTCTATTGAATAGGTACTGACGAAGTTAGGTATAGTTAGATTCTAGACTGATAGTCACCATAAAAATCATTTCTCTCAAATGAAGTGAAAAAACGGCATGTCTTTTGGAAAAGAAAACACGCGTCCCACTTTTCTTGTTCCATTGTCCATGCTCAACCCTAGGGTTTTATGATTGTCTCAATGTTTATATTTGATTAGTATGAATGATCCTGTTGAAATGTGCTTATCTATTTACTATCATCACCCTTTATTTATATAAAAAAATGTGTTTACGTATTTATTTTTCAGCTGTTACCTACTATTAATGCAAATAAATATCATTATAATTATAATTTCTATTCCTGAGAGGTGAAAAAGTGTACGTTTTATTGTGACACTCATTCATACATTACCCACAATATGCAAGTTTGAAAGAAAAATGCAGTTTCCATTGCAGCAAATAACAAACTTACCTGGCACACAATCACACAAATCTCAAGAGAATCCGTCCTTTGTGAGTTCTTCATGCATGTGTAGAAGTATACAGTGTTCTGTCAAAGGATTTTTCTTCTTTCTTCACATACAGTGTGTGTATATAATTTTAATTGAGAAGCATAAATGAGGCTACTTCAGGATAAAGTGTTTTTTCACACAAGAACCAAAATCTACTAAGTGAAATTTTGATGGTGAACATTGCATACCAGTCATTTTCAACCAATCAGATGCTTTATTTTGACATTGTTATTACAGAAACCAGCAAATTTTTTGAAAATTCTTCATCCACATGAGCATGTAGACGTAAAATTAATAAGTGGAAATATTTTGGAACATGACAGCAATCATATTATAATTAGACAAAATTCAAATAATTTTTACAATATTTTTTATTTTCCGGAAACCTAGTAAGAAAATCATAATATGTTATCAATTATTTTTATATAATAATGTCATATGATTAGACAAAATTGATATAATTTTGAAAATATTTTTTATTTTCCGGAAACCTAATGAGAAAATCAAATGAAATCAATTATTTTTATATAATGTCGTATCTGATACTATAAATCTTATTTTACTAGGGCACAGGGCGAGTAAATATTAACTTTATGTTTTCTCTTCAAACTCCTGACAATTCTCAAAAAATTCATGTCCTCAAAAAAATTCCGGCAATGATTCATTCCCTAGTGAAAATTCAACATATTCAATGGTGCATTGATGATTATAGATTTTTTTAATTTTCATCCCCAAAAATTTACTTATTAAGGGCACTCTCATCCCAAATCACCTTTGTTATTCATGAAAAACCGGTGCATATGTATTTTTTATTTCGTTCATAGAATCAGTTTTCACTGCAGAAAAAATGAAAGAATTAGTTCTGGATCCTTCAACATGCTGCTGACGTCACTGGTGAACTGCCACAAAGATAAACCGTCATTTTTCGAGCACGACTGTGACGTTGCCGTTTTCACTTAAATGTTTGTGTACTGAGAAATTCTTTAATGACTATAAATTTTTCACGAAATTATTGGGTAGTTCAAATGAAATGAAACATCTCAATAATATCCAGAATAGTTTGAATCCTCAACGTTGAATCTTGAGATTGATAGAATTAAAAGGCATTGAAAGTATTGTATCGTCTTCCATATGACACTCCAACGAATCAACTGTATAAGGAAACAATAGTTATTTATTATACAAGGGAAAAAAGTAGTAGATTTTAGCTCCAGGTTGTGTTGTCTCTCGACGCGTAGCGGAGGGAGACAACAAACCGTGAGCTAAAATCTAATATTTTTCCCGTGTATAATACACTATTTTTTTCTGTGACAGAAGAGAGGACGAATCAATATTGAGAAGATATTACATTATTTTGAAATCTGAAAATTATCGTCGTGAAATTTTAAGTTTTTAACAGTAGGGACACCGCGTTGTAGGCATCTTTATCATTCATTTGAAGTAATCAAATATCTGATGTCACTGCTGTCAGTCTAATTCTGTGATTTGATTTCAAAAAATTGCGAATTCAGTGGTTGTTTAGTAATATACGTAACCGCGAAGTCGGATGGAAGATAAAAGGACTTGCAGTTCTTTCTCGGAGACGGTATTATTGACTCATTTTTCGGAACTATAGCGCAACAAAAGCCATCAACAGTGTATATATATGTGATATATATCCGGGAAAAAAGTACTCACTTTTTTCCCACGGGAAAAAAGTAATTTATGAAAAGTGACATTTTATAACCTGCCAACAGGGATGAAATGCCAAACTTTTTTCCCGTCACAGAAAAAACACATTTTCTTTGGAAGAGCACTTTTTAATCAATACTCTCAAAATTTCCTATTATATCATCAACAAAAAGCTTAAATCAAATTTTATATTAATCAGGAATTCTGAAATTCATGATCATCACACTAGACAATATAACTTGTTTCATCTTGAAGCTGCAAATTCTAAACTTGGGCAAAAAAAGTTTACACATGAGGCGATTTCGAAATTCAATAAATTACCAGATGATATCAAAAACAGCCCAAATATTATGCAATTCAAAAATAAAGTTAAGAAATATATTTATATGCAAAGGAATGATCAAAGCTGAAAGACCATGAATTTCCTTTTTTCTTTTTTTTTTTTTCACTCTTTTTATTTTTCCCCTTCTCGTTCACTATAATATGACTGTATCTTAATGATATGTAAGTTTTGTTCACTATTTGTAATTTCAATTATACAACAGTCGATAATACTTCATGAATGATCTTATACCAGGAATTACTGTCTGATCATTCATGTCATTCCTACTAGAAAATTAATTATACTTTATATATTATTTGTATGAAATGTATCAATGAAGAAAAGAATGTAATGCAATAACTGAAATAAAACCAAAATTCTAACTCGAAAGATTGGGGAGTCAATTATTATTCTCATTGTTTCCAAGATATCAATTCATGGTCTAGTAATATACGCAGTTTTCGTTAATTCTTTTGTTGATTGTGATTAATATAGGTGATGGAAATCATTTTGATTGTTCATGTTTCTATCCAGAAGATTATGCATTCTTATTCCGATTTTATTTCGTTTTCAGTTCGGACTTGTTTGGATACTGGATTAGGAACAGATAATACCTACACTTTATCACTTTAAATGCCCCCTTCCCCCCTCTGTATCAAAGCTATTAGTTATGCGAGTCTCGCCAAATTTGGACCGGCATAAATAACTATCAATATGATAAGATTTGAATGATTTCATTATTTGATGGAGATTGGTGAGGGGAACCTCTCCCCCCCCCCTGTGGAACACCATGTATTTATTATTATTTACCTCGTTATTTACTATTCCTATTATCTATTATAAAGGAAAACAGCTATGCAAAAAATCAAACTTATGAAAAAAAAAACAGTTTATTAAACATAATATAACGTGTTTTGAACATAAAATATAAATATATACCTATATCCTCATCCGTCAATTCAATACTCTCGAAAAATAAGACAATCTAGGAACTTTTGACGCTATTTTTGCTCACCGTCAATGGTCCCGAATTCTCGCTCGTGCGCCCTGTTGAGGATCTGCTTGTAGAGCACTTCGGCCTCCTTGTATTTACCCTGCTTCAAATAGCAGGACGCCAGGTTGTTCATGGTCTTGCTGACGTTCGGATCGTCTGCTCCCAGCCGCTTCTCGTAGATCTCGAGCGCCCTCTGGTAGTACTTTTCCACTTCCTCGTATTTGCCCTGTCAAAAAAATACGACGCTTTTTCATTAACGATCATTCAAACGTCCATGATTTTGGGTATGGATGGACGCAAAAGATTCATCATTGACATCAATGTGCGAGTGCAGAAAAGCCTTGGAAAACCTGTCAAAATCAAGAAAAGTCAGCCTCATGTGGGTCCCGGGACATTCGGGAATACCCGGAAACGAGGAGGCAGACAGACTGGCAAAGATCGGTTCAGGACGGACCCCGGTCGGACCGGAACCAATCTTGGGAATACCAAATAGCCTGGCAATGTCCTCTATAGAGGAACAGCTGCAAAAGCAATTCCTCAAAATATGGAAGGACACACCAGGAATGAGACAATCGAAGCTCCACATAAAGGAACCTTCGAAGAGGCTCGCAAAAGAGGTTTTATTCCTAAACAGGCGAAACCTTAAAATGGTAGTGGGGCTCCTAACGGGGCACAACCACCTCAATAGGCACCTAGAGCTTATTGGGATCAAGGATGACCCCCTTTGCAGATGGTGCCTGGAAGATGACGAAACTTCATCACATGTCCTCACTGAGTGTCCAGCACTGACGCATCAGAGGAGGGCTGTCCTTGGCAACATAATTTTGAGGCCAGAGGACGTAACATGTGGGCGCACAATGGGCCCGAATAAGGAGGCCCACGTGCAGGGGGTTCACCCGCCCACCAGTGCTTCGAAGAAGAAGAAGAAGAAGAAGAAGACATCAATGTTGCCTGTAGCACCGGACATTTATATTGGTACTGTGTTAACTTATATTCGCGATAGAAAATAAGTATACGGAACCTATCGGAGTTTTTGAAAGCTGTCAAAGCGGTCTGTTCACTTTGTTTTCATTGGTTCACATTTATTTTTCTTGTACTCTTTGGTCACATCCAAGGTGGATAGAATATGGTGTAATCACAGACGGGGAACGAGGAGACAGGCAGACTAGCCAAGATCGGTTCAGGAACGACACCCATTGGACCAGAACCGATATTGGGAATACCCAATAGTACGGCTATGTCCTTCATGAAGGAAATGCTACAGAGGCAGTTCCTTGAAACATGGCGGGACACACCAGGAATGAGACAATCAAAGCTCCATATAAAGAAACCTTCAAAAAGGCTCACGAGGGAGATCCTGTCACTTAATAGAAGGGATCTCAAGATGGTAGTTGGGCTCTTAACTGGGCGCAACCACCTAAACAGGCACCTAGAACTCATAGGGATCAAAGATGATCCCATCTGCAGATGGTGTTTGCAGGATGATGAAACATCATCATACATACTCAATGAATGCCCCGCGCTGATGCATCAGAGGAAAGCTCCCTTTGGGAGCATTATACTGTACCCAAAGGATGTGAAAGCGACTCAGCTGAGGAAGCTGCTTAATTTCGTCAAAGCAATCGGCATGCCCAGCTGATTCACAGGACAAGTGGGCGCACAATGGGCCCGACTGAAGAGGCCTGAGTGCAGGGGTCTACGCACTCGCCCACCTGTGCAGAGAAGAAGGAGAAGCATCACAGACAGTGTTTTGTTTCTCCCAAAACGCTTGACAGCAGATTCCGCAATAATGGCATATTAGTTCTCAGTTGTCCGCAAGATAGCGACACTCTTTACAGATTTTTTTCATGACAGAAAACAGAAAACGGCGCTTACGCACCGCTTGCACCAGAAATAATGAAATCATAACATTCATAACATAACCTCAAATCAAATGAGATTGAATTTGAAAGTACGAAAATGCAATTTTGGGGAATTTTAATTATCATCAATTTGAATTTTGGTTGATATTTCGCCATCTAACGGGTAAAATGCGACCTATATTCCGCGATATTGAAAAGAATCCTTCTGTCAAGTAGACCGTAGGTGGAGAACTTTGACCGAAAAACAGTAGATGGGATTTGATAGGAGTTTCTACACCATCTTCTGTTCATCCTGGTCACATCAATCAGAAACAACCGCTGAGAAGTGTTCAGGTTGGGGCGACTTGTTATTTTCTATTGCGAATAGTCTGTATATTTTTTGTACGTGGGTCACAACGTCAATAAACTAAATGAACCAATTCAAGGTCAGATTATTCAGTTATCAGTGTCGTGATGTATGGGAAATGGAGTTAGAACGCGAGTATTCCAGTACTCTACGCCTCTGTGATAAATGAGAGTATAATAAATGCAGTATGAGCAAGAATTGATTCTTATTCTGCCATTGAAACGTCGAATAATTTCCAATTTATTTCGCTGGTCATTACCAATGAGAAAAACTTTTCCATTTAAATACATAATATATGTTGCTCGTAGTCAAAAAACCCAATTAGGTTGAGTAAACATTACTGGTGTGGAATTTTCATAATAGGAATAAAATTTCGAAATTATTCATCAGGTAACTTTCTGATTGGGGAACAGGTACTTGGTGACAACTGTTTGATTTACAGTGTTGCCAATATAGGAAATTCAAATAGAGTTAGTTAGTATTAAGGAAAAAAAATAGTATGACTTCAATTTGTATCTCTACCTTCAGGGTTCCAAAGTAAAATAATGAAAATGTCATATTATGTAATACGGAAAATGAGAATAAATTAAGTAGGTAAAATACCATTTTAACCTTCACAGTATTGAGGTTAGAATAGCTTTCTTCTAATTTATGAGTTACCAACATGAAATTTTCCTTATTTCAGGATGAAGAGAAGGAGTCTACTTCTGTTTGAGTGATATATGCATCAACCGATGTCTTTAGGGAACCGGATTATCTATAGACGGGAATCTCCCCGGATCCTCGGACTAGTCCGAGCCACTCACTGGAGAGAATCTAGACAACACTATCTCCCAAGCACGAAAATAAGAAAGTGTCATACAGAGGTGTGGAAACACATGCGCACAACTGCCCGAGACAAACAAGAAGGTTTTTTATTTTTTATGTGAAAGCTTATTGGGTAGCTCCAAGTAGTAAACATTCTGTGCCCAGCAAAGTTTTTGATATTGATTCCACAAAACCAGGTGCAAGCAAATCACAATTGGAAGCACATAAAGAAGATGCTAGCTTGAACCAACAAGAAATTGTACAAATTTTACAAACAATAAAAGATTCTACAAAAAGGGGTAGTGGTAGTGCTCTCCACTAAATTGGCTAAGCTGTTTCCTCTTCTGTTATTGTCTAGAACTGAGGGAATCCTAAAAAATCTGACACTGTCTCTCATTCCAGTACTGCCGCAATTCGCTACCATACAAAAATTCGGCATATTATTTGGCTAGAATCTGTAGATGTGAATATGATAAGCACTCGAAATCAGAAGATTTGGATCACAGATAAATACATTAAATTCAATATGTATGAATTATATCTGCAGTAGAAGTTCAACATGACTATCACAATACAAATAACAAACACTAATAACAACTTATTCGTCAGTAACAAAGCAGTAAAATGAAAGCAAAAATAATTATGAACTCATGAACAGAATACCTCCACACGGTTTGTTTACCCTCCAAGCGTTCGACCTTCAACGTTGTGACGTCAGCCGCCGATGGTCTATTCACGCTCACCTGATTCTGACAGAGCAGAGCCAAATTGTTGAGCTGCTTAGCGACGTCCGGATGCTCCTTGCCCAGCACGTTCTCCCTGATGTCCAGCGCCCGCTTGCAGAGGGGCTCCGCCTCCTTGTACTTGCCCCGCTTGCCGTACAACACGGCCAGGTTGTTGAGGGTGGCGGCGACGGCGGGATGGTTCTCGCCCAGCGTCTTCTCTCTGATCGCCAAAGCGTCGTTGAGCAGATTGGCCGCCTCCTTGTACTTGTTTTGGTCTCTGGAAATATTGATTGATTGATGTACAATTGGTTTGAATCGTACCTCTCAGGGCGAAGTCAAATGGTAAGAACTTCGGAACTCTCAGAAAGCAGGGCAATCACATCTGGTGTGCCACAGGGTTCTGTGTTAGGCCCAATTCTGTTTTTGTTATATATTAATGACTTGACTACGATAGATATATCTGGCAGCTTTACTCTCTTTGCGGATGATACAACAATATTGTGGAAGGAAAAGAACTCGGCAGAGCTACATAAAAAGATATCATCAGATGTAGAAAAGGTAAAAAATTGGTGTGATGCTAATTTGTTATCCTTGAATATCTCCAAAACAAATATAATAACATTTAAATGTCTGCTAAATGAACTCTCAATAGGCAATGATATCTTGGAAAATAGACTAAACACAAAATTTCTTGGTGTATTCATTGATAATAAGCTTAAATTTGATGAACACGTTAGACAACTCAAGAGTAAAATCTCATCCGGATGTTATGCAGTGAGAATGGTTTCTAATGAGTTGGGTTTTCACACAGCAAAAATGGCTTACTACGCTTTAATTGACTCTCAAATAAGATATGGAATACCTCTTTGGGGAACATGCAGTGCAACCCTTCTCTCTTCTGTGTTGATATTACAGAAAAGGGCTGTAAGGTGTCTCTGTAAGGTCAAACCTAGCGATTCATGCAGGAATTATTTTGCTGCCAATGAGATTTTAACTGTCGTTGCACTGTTTATTCTTGAAACTGTATGCCTGGTATACAAAGACAAAACGGAGTTTGACTTTGTTTCTTCTCCGTATGCTACTCGTAATAGCATATTTAATATCAGACTTCCCATACCCAACTCAACATTAATCAAGGATTCCATTTTTTATAATGGTGGAAAGCTTTTCAATCACTTACCAGTAGATATAAGATCTGCAAATCTGACCAATGTGCATTTTAGGAAAGCAGTGAGAAATTTGCTAGCTGATAGACCCTTTTATAGCCTACAAGAGTATTTTAATGAATCCCTTTGAAAATATGTGTAATCTATTTTACTTTTATTGTATTTGTACTTGATTTATTCAAAAATTTTTTGTTACTTATCTGTTCATATCTATACACTATTAGTTATGTTTATATTTACATGTACCTACAAACCTTTGTCAATGGGATGCAAAATCTTCTGACAATAAAGAATATTTGAATTTGAAAAAAAAAAAAAATTTGAATTTGATTTTTTTATCGCTTGGGGCGCACGAAAGGGAATCTAGACAATATGACTTGTTTCATCTTGATGCTGCTAATGAGGGAGTTTCCTTCAGATGAATTTTCATAAAATAAGTTCGGAACTCTCTAGTTTTCCAGTTTCATGGCCAAGCTGTACAGAATGGCAACCGATGAATTCCAAATTAAAGTAATTTCTAATTTTCGGGGCGGCAAACTGTGACGTACATTCTGAATCTAGTCTGAAGATAGCTGATGGTGAAGAATATTGCTAGCGAATAGCTAACGAATGAAAAAAATAGTAAAACTGGCAAACAAAAACATACATAACCACAAAAGCACTCGGAGCAGGAATGCAGAGGGTAGTTGGCTTCATTCTGACAGGTTATGGTTGTTTTTCTCACTGTGAAGTTTGTAAAAAATCAATATATACGCATTTTTTCTTTTTTGTAAGATCAAATTTCACTTCAGAAAATAATAAATGAAAGAGGAACTTGGCTCCTCCACCATTCCTATGACGTACTTTCTGAAAATCCACATTCACACAGTGTTGAAATACGATTCCCTGTGCCAGTACGACGTTGCCGACATCATCAATATGTCTAGATTTCCGGAAATTGTTCCTTGAATGCATGATAACTATATCATAACAGCAATGGGATATAATAGGTTCTTCAATCCTACTTTGGCAAGTATTATGAATAATTCCCATGAATCTCTCATTGGCTGAATGAAGTTGATTACTAAGAAAGATAAATTATGATATTTTGCGATAGTAACTATAATTTTTCACTATCGTTATATAACAATATGTTATTCATAACTTGTCAGTCATTTTTTTGCTAATGATTCGTTCCTTAATAAAACTGATCTATTTTCTAGGAAAATTGCAGATTATATATTGCAACAGCGACTAATACTTCAAATCCGTCCCCACCACTCAAAATACTGACAGGTACAACAAGAGGAAGGAGCCATGGGTGTCGGCTTCATTCTGTTCTGACCGATGGCAGTAAATTAGGAAGGATAATATCATTGAATGTAGCCGATAGTGATTCATTGATTCAATGATATTTCCGTTAAGGATCGAGCTTTATTCGAGATATTTCAATGCATAAATAACAAAATCATAACCTGACAGAATGAAGCCCACTACCTTCTGCATTCCTGCTCCGAGTGAATTTGTGGTTATGTATGTTTTTGTTAAGCAGTTTTACTTCTTCTATTTTTTTTTCAATCGTTTTTTAATCTTTAGCTATTCGCTAGCTATATTCTTCACCATTAGCTATTTTCAGACTAGATTCAGAATATACGTCACAGTTTGCCGCCCCGAAAATTAGAAATTGCTTTAATTCGAAAATGAAAACGACTTGGACTTTATCGGTCGCCAATCTGTACAGCGTGGTGTGACCAAATTTCAATCATTTCAAATTCAGTGTAGGTATCGTGATTCTCGGACGACCCTGTATGTTTCTAGCGTGTTTTTATCTTTTCTTCTAATACGCAAAAAAGAAACGTGCGATCGACGGACGGCCGAGATAGGTAGGTACGCGGAACCAGAGAGAAAGAATTTATTTGTGGCAAGAACGACGGTGATCTGCGAAATATTTTAAAAGTATCGTTTCACGGATTTCTTCGCATTGTTCGCTGAATGAGACAAATTTTTGGGATATACGTTATCATATTATGGAAATTGATTTGTCTTGATGCCTTGATGAAGAAGGATTTATAAGTTGATAGCATAATCAAAACGTCTCTGAATGCTTGGGTTATCTGCTTTGGAGGTGCGTTTCTTTTTGTTTAGTACCGGTACTTTACTATTATTATTTTTCTGATAGATTGTTATCTGGCTATTTATCTGATTTCAGACGTTTTCCAACGATGTCGTATAGCAAATATAATGTATAGAGTGAACTAAAATATGAATGATATACTGGGTGATATTCACTTATGGTCCGAAACATCGTTGGTGTGAGGATAAGGAAATCGTAGAGATACTAATTTACAATCTGATGAAGTCATCCTCAACTTCACTGGAGCAGTGATAAGTACCACCTAGTGGATTTTTATATTGGTTTACCGGGATCATGACGAGAGATTGATTGATATTGATGAACTTGAGTTTGTGAGACTATTGATTCAGTTTGCTCAGTGAATGTTGACTATTACGTTGTAGTTCACAGCTCGCTTTACTGTCCTTTTCTTTCATGGATATAATAATTAGAATTATAAAATATAGTCCTCTCGAGAGTTAGGTAGGTCACAAATTGAAATTTGAATTCAATTATATTCCCCTCACACCTGGAATACGTTTGTTTTTATTGAGTTCAACCTGTAGGCTAAATATTCCTTGATGAACATTTGTCATGGTCCAAACATATTGAATCGATCAGAAAGAAAATATCTCCAGTAATCGGAGTACTCTACAGGATCAGACACCAAATCACTTTGAAATACTTGAAATGTATATATTTTTCTTTGGTTTATTCAAAATTACAATACTTGATTTCAGTTTGGGGTACAGCTAGATTATCAATCATGAAGCCAATCAAAATCCTTCAAAACAAAGTTATTAAATGTATATACAAACTAGATTACTTGGAACCAACAAGAAATCTTTATAAACCTAGGCAATTGTTAGATATAAACTCCATTTACAAATTCAAAATATTGAATTTCATCCATTCCGTCAAATATAATTATAAACATTCAAATCTGAATTTTGAAGTCAATAGTCATAAACACGAACACATAACCAGACAAAAAGATATGTTAACTCTCATCAAAATTAAATCAGATATGGGTAAAAGATCTATTTTATATAATGGAACAATTCTCTATAATGAATAGAGCCAGACTAAAGAAAAAATTGAGTGTTGAAAAATTAAAAAAAGAACTGAAAAAATACTTATGTCTTTGATTCTCTTCATGTCATCCAGAATCAATTCAAGAAATTATATTCGACTGTCTCTAGAAGAAACAACATTATATGTATTGTGTATATGATTTAAAAATGATTATCTGATTATCTAATTTATGTTTTTTTAGTTGCTCTTTCATAATTTTCCCTGCTATAAACATATATGTTTCTTGGGAATAATAAAGATAATAATTTTTTAGTGGTTTTTACAAGACTGAGAAAACTTTCCGAATTTAGGGGCGTGGTTTCAAAAAACCACTTTGCGCTCAACAGTTTTTCCATTATTTTCTTCACCTACTCCCGACTCCACTGAGTATTAGTCGGCACACACCCGAATTATTGTCTTCCATGGCGAACAGTGGACATAACACTGGAGAGTTCCGAACTTATTGTGTGAAAATTCATCTGAAGGAAACTTCCCCATTTGATCACTTGAAATGGATTATAATATTTTCATTTCATATTTTATTATAATTTTTTTTAAATAAAGACAATCAATTTCCGTACTCGCATGCTAACATCGCTGTTCGCTCACCTGTAGACCAACGCCAGTATGTTCAGCATGGTGGCGACGTCGGGATGATCATGGCCGCTGGTCTTCTCCAGATCCTCCAACGCCTGCTTGCAAAGGGGCACGGCCACCTCGTAACGGCCCTGCGACGCGTACTGTATGACCAGATTGTGCAGCGTCCTCAATCGAGCCGGGATCTCGTAGCCGGCGTTCACTTGCTGCGACAGCTGCAGCTGGTTGGGAGGAGTGGGAGACATATCTAGCAAGAAGAAGCAATAAAAGTCACAAAGTCACTGTCGACCACGAAAATATCTTTTAATAAGTAGTGTAACTGGTGTGTAACACAAAAATGATGTATTCGGAAGAACCTAATGCTTCATTGTCTGTTTTTTCAATATTAGTATTTCCAACCGATTTTTTATTGAGATAAGCGGCATGATATTTTATTTCCGAGGCAATTAAGTCGTTGTCTCCAGTTCTCGCAAAAAACAGAGGGTGACTTCGTGATATTGTTCTTATTTTTACTTGCATATTATGAGTCATAACTTGGCTTAGTTTTTGATTATGTGATCGCTTCTGACAAAATACGCACTTTTGTGAATCAAAAGGTGTCCGCAAGGGACGTTTTTGAAAAATATCTGCTCTATATACAAAAATCTGCTGGGAAATCAGCTGTAAGTTTGTTATTTTTTGACTTGTACGAGGCAATGTTCTTTGAGCTCGTATACGATTTATAACAGTTTTTGGGCCATTTTAAAAAACTTTGATTTTCTAGATCATCAAACTTTGAGAATATATGCCGCATATATTTGTCATCATGACAATTTGTCATACGTTCTTTTGTGCATTCAATGAAAGTTTTTTTTTTATTTTTCATGAGAGATAACCAGCTTTCCTCCTTCCAAACAAATAAGACACACATTTTGAATAAAAACGTCTTGTCCATTGTCAGTTTTACGAAAAGAAGCACGTCTTAATTTGATTTTCGACTCAAGTTCACTGTCAGAGCTGCTGCTGTTCGTTGAATCCATTTCTAGAGGATACCAAAAAAATACTAACTGTACATAATACTCACTAAGTAAGTTCTAAATATTGTTAACTTACCAATAAGTTATTATTCGCTTTTAATAATATGATTTATAGACAAGAACTTCATCACTCATCACTAGTAATCTCAGTGGAATCCGCGCTACCAGAACAATGCATTCGAATTTACAACAAAACAGTGAAGTCACGGTAAAATCGACCGTACCAACATCGCTATCAGTAGAGTGGATTTTCGGTTGAAACAGGCATAGCAATCTCGCCCTTCCTCGTATCTCTGCGCTCGCCGCTGTTCGTCGCGACATGCCGTTCGATTTATTCAATTTTCTCGTGAACCAATTATCCAATCAAAATTCTAAAAAAACCAACATGTTCTCTGATGTTTGGTCTTTAACGTTTATAGAAAGCCTTTTTTTGCTAGACCCAATACTTTTCGAAGAAGAGCGAGTTAAATGATTTTAAAAATATGGGTGTTCAGGGCAAGCGGTTTTGTGTGAAGGCGCTCCATATACAACAATGCTGCGACGTATTTTTATAAATTGAAAAAAAAAATATTTCTGATATCCGGATGGGTATGCAAATTTGAGGAATGGATTATCTCAAATCTTAGATCTGAAAACCGATGAAAAAAAAATTGTTTTTTTTTTAAAAGGCTCCCCCCACTCCCCTCCAACTACGATTTTTGGACGACCAAGTGATTTTGCATTGCAATGATCTTCGGAATGATAAAAAATGGGTTTTACATTTTAGCAACAAAGTGCCCACGGGATAGCACGATAGGATCCCGTTTAAACTCTACTATATGAATAAAAAACATAGGTTTAAATCTGGAGAAAGTCCAGTAAAACCAGGTCAGCAATATATTATTACTGATCATTGGCACAATTTACCAAAAAATCTTAATCTCTCACGTGAGATTCATCAGCTCATGCAAATTGCAAATGGAAGCTACAAGCTACAACCGAATTCGAAGAGCCAGAATCATCATAAATCACATGAAAAGTAAAACATGACAAAGAATAAGTACATAACCTGATGAATCTCACGTGAGAGATTAAGATTTTTTGGAAAAGTGTGCCAATGTTCAGTAATAATATATTGCTGACCTGGTTTTACTGGACTTTCTCCAGATTTGAACCTATTTTAAATTCAAGACTGATTTTGTGAAATTTTGACCTAGGCTGTTGATTTTATATAAATTGTTGCTCTCCATATGTATTGCTAAGGTTAGTATATCGATTCTGTGACTCTTTTTTGACTCCTTAACAATTTCCATAATTTCTTTTAGGTACCTACTTCCGAATACATCATTTTTGTGTTATACACCAGTTACACTACTTATTAAAAAATATTTTCGTGGTCGACAGACTTTGTGACTTTTATTGCTTCTTCTTCTAAAAATCAATTGGACCACTCTGAGAAATATGGATGGTTCCTATGATTGGAGATATATCTAGCACAAATAGCTCAAGGGAGGAAAGGTATCAATTTCCACCAGCGTGTGAAGTTTGATGTCCGACGCGTAGGCAAATTCTGCAAATTCTCCAATCACGAATTATAATGAAAGTTACAAATGCCATACGTACTGTGCCTGTCGTCGTTATCGTCATCGGGAAACAGATCCACCACCGGATCCGCCTTCTCCTGCCTCGCATGCTCCGCCCCGCCCTCCTCCACGTCCTGATCGTACTTGCTCATCGAGTTCATGAACTCCAGATGGCGCTTGCCCTCCTCCAGCTGCGCCACCGCCTGCTCGCTGGACTGCAGCCGCTGCTGATTGGCCGCCAGCTCGTCGCGCAGCCAAGCGTTCTCCTGGCACAGGCGGCGCACTTGGGTGCGCAACTTTTGCTTCTCCGCCTCGACGAGTTGGAGGTGGGCCGCCAAAGCCAGGATGACCTGAAAGGTTGGATGAATTCCTCTGCAATGAGCCGTCACTCGACCACTTTCCCATTTGAAACGAAAAAGTTGAAAATGTGCGATGAAAATACGCGGAACGCGAAATCAACACCGCCGTCGGATAGACTAACTAAATACCTTTCAAACAAGCCGTTACTTGACCTCTTTGTCATTTGAAACAAAAAAGTTGAGAATGTGCGACGAAAATAAACATCGTTAGTTCTAAATGAACACCGCCGTAGGTTAGACAACCAAATTTACTCCCAAACGAGCCGTCAATCGACCCTTTTCCTAATCAAAACAAAAACTTGATAGTGTACGGTGAAAATACACATTTCCACTGACTAGAAAATTTGGTTACCTTTAAAACGAGCCGTCACTCGACCCCTTTCCCACTTAGAACAAAAAAGTTGATATTTTGCGAAAAAATACAGACAATTCAAAATGGACACCATCACTGGTTAAACAATCTGATAACCTTCAAAACGAACCGTCACTCGACCCCTCTCATTGCCAAAACAAAAAAGTTGATATCGCCCACTCACCTGCGCCTCGCCTAACCCCAGCTCGATCATCCCGGCGCTCTGCTGCACGAGTCCCGCGCGTTCGCACAGCACCTGATCGGGAACCTCGTGCATCCCGTGCAGGATGAAAAAGTTGATTATGTGCGACAAAAATGCACAAAATTCAAAATGAACACCTCTACTGTTTGGAAAATATAATAACCTTCAAAACGAGCCGTCACTCGACCCCTTTCCCACTCAGAACAAAAAAGTTGATATTTTGCGAAAAAATATAGATAATTCAAAATGGACACCTCCACTAGTTGAACAATCTTGTGACCTTCAAAACGAGCCGTCACTCGACCCCTCTCATTGTCAAAACAAAAAAGTTGATATCGCCCACTCACCTGCGCCTCGCCTAACCCCAGCTCGATCATCTCGGCGCTCTGCTGCACGAGGCCCGCGCGCTCTCCCACCACCTGGTCGGGCGCCTCGTGCATCCCGTGTAGGATACCCGCGTGCTCCGATCGCAGGGCTTCCAGGCCCTGCGCGACCGTCTTCACGGCCGCCACGATCTCCTCCTGCGTCATCGCCGTCATTCTGCCCAACGTCTCTATCTTCTTACTGAAAAAGGTCCGAATTTTTCGCCCAATTTTCGACTGGTTTTCACTCGATGCTTGATAGACTCAGGTGAGTTAATTTATTTCTCATGCAAGTTGGTGTTTTTTTTTTCAACTAACAATTCAGGTTTACTCAAATTCCACACTTACTAATTAGAACTAGTAAGTCTGTTGAATTCAAACTTGGAATATAAACTGCTGATAAATTGAACTGCAACGAGCACATTTCTTGGAAAAATGTCAACATTGAATATTTTTGCGATAACTGCACATATTCGGATGTGGATTTCTTCATTTTGAAGATATATCCATTGGTTATATGACTACTAGTCCCCTCATGAAAGTACATGGTGATACAGGGTAAGCCAGGGTGACAAACAAACTTCTGCAAGATATTGAAACATTCTCCAGATATACAAAATCTCAAATTTTTAGAAAAATATATTTTTACAAAAATCAGATTTCACGTTCCAATTTCCGAACGAAAAACCGAATATTTCCGAAGGCAAGTAGTTTTCGTCCGCAAACACTTCTCATACGCTGCAGGGTTGCCAGTTTTACTAAATTTTCAGTAATCTCCTGTTTCGCATTTTGATCTACTGATCTACTGAAACATTTCGTAACCTACTGAAAAATAGTTTGACACTAATTTATTATTATTATAATTACATGTATTATTATTAAACTTTAGGTATTCACCGAGGTATTCACATACACTTATAAATTGCTTGATATTCCGGCACGCTCTGTTTAAATTAATTTCACAAAATAAGTAATGAATTTACATAAAGGGTGGCCCTTTGAAAACGAAACAGAGGCTTTTTAGGTCGCCAAAACCGGATTATGAAAAAAATTTGAAACACGTCAACTACATTTTCGGGGGGGACATCGTTCTAAATGATTTTCAGCACTGCGGCGTTGCCGCATCTAGCGAAAAGTAGCAGCAACTTTGTTATTTCAAATGGAACACCCTGTATTCCATTGCATTTTCAGATTCTTCCCCAAGAGCTGTTTTCATCAATGCATCACACTTGAGATCTAGCGGCAATGATGACAGAGCTATAGGGTGTTCAATTTGGGTCTATCGAAAAAGATCACAGAGATATAGGGTATTCAAAATCGAGATTTTTCAACTTTAGGATTTTTTTGTGTCGAAACTATTCATCATTGGTCGAAGCGGCTCACATGACCTTTTCTCGAATTTCCATTCACTATCTACTGACATTTAATTGGAACAAATACAGGGGGGTTCAAGATTCAGAATTCTGTTTGTTTATATTTCTTATAACCCTTTACAACTAGATGTCACCATGTATTTTCATCAGCGGCTAGCTGTCATATACCCAATAGATTTATCTTCAAAATGAAAAAAAAACGCATTCTAATAATATGTGAAAGTATTGTGAAAATATTGAGTGTTGAATTGAGTGCAAAACTGTGCTTGTTGCGGTTCAATTGATAATCAGTTTAGTTAAATACCAACTTCGAATTCAAAATTCAATTTAATACCCGCTCAGCGAATTTAATCAAAGATTAATGTTTCAATCCAAAATTTGATGCCAAATCCTTTTCTCTTTTACGACTTTACCGCTGATTTCAGAAATGTTGAAAATTAGAAAATTCACAGCAAAGAGAATTTCTTTCATGGAATAACCAACAAATGTGCAAATTCAATTAATGAAATTTTCAAATTCCAGATGAAGAAAACTGCATAAAATTCGTCAGATTGATTCTGAAGTGAAATTCTATCAACTGTGCATCATTTGCTATTTTATTGGTTATTCTTCGTACAAGCTTTGAAAACATTGAAGTAGGAAGAGGGGAAAAAAGTTTTCTGCAGTAATTTAAATATTTAAATCTGCTTCCCTACTAAGATGTTTTTGAAATAAAGTGTCCAAATGTATAGTTACTGAACTTAGAAATTAAAAATAATACTAAACACCATTGAAACAAAAAAGTTTCCTAATTAATAAATCTAGTAACTTCATACATTTTTTCAGATGAAAGGCCTGGAGATGGAGTTTATTAGGGAAAACAAAGAAAAATAAGGTGGTAGATCGACAAGCTTTTGGGATCACACAAACAGAACGAAACAAACAAAACAAAAAAAAAACTTACATCCTGTAAGCATTGATGGTTTTTGACATTTCTCGATAACTTCTTCTGGAAGGCCACTTTTACCATAACCACAAAACACGCCGCAAACTTCGTCTTACAAGAAAGTGTTTTTTGTTCAATTCTCTACGCACTACAGTTTTAAGGCGGTATCACACTTATAAATGGACGTTGTAAAAGTATTGTCTGTATTTCTGTAAATGCGCAAAACGAGTGTATAAGCTCTACTGAATATTATATTGCTATCTGTAAAAGAAATCAGAATTTCATTCACCTCATAATTTTAAGCAACTGATAGAAAACCGAGACTGTGCGTTCAAAACACCCTGTATCTTTCTTCTGCCTTCTATGATAGGTAATGACGAATATGTTTGATTATTGATCAAATATATTTTCTTCATTCCAAGGCAAATGGGAAGGATACAGAGAGAATCTTAATATCTATGTGAATAGTACATTTCCAATAGAAAATCCCTTGTCTATTAGATTAGTCTTAAATCGATCAATACCTCGATAAGAATACCGTAGCTTAGAAAAATATCACACGTACATATTAAAGCACATAATTTAATACGGACTAAAGTAACTTTTTCTTTTGATTGTTTCAATAGTATCATTAATTAAAATTCTACATGTTTTTTTTTTCATAAAAAAGGGGACGTGAAGTACAAAAGAAACGCGAAACTACTGGTGCTGGCTACGACATAGCGTCTGGATGCAGTTGAAATCACGCGACAAGCGTTGTTGCCAGGTTTGTTCCGGCATCAAATACCGGAAATTGACGCGAAAAAAGCCTGGAAGATAATCAGACATTTCGGTAGCGTTACGGAAGATTTCAATGATTTGGCAACGCTGCGACGTCGGCATCGATGTGTCATCGCAACCGCAACCTTGCGTCTGGGGAACCCGATTTCCTATCGGTCGATACATCGACAATTCCCTGGTAATCACGAATACAACAGGCCCAACAGGGACTTATTGAATGCATTACAATCATTAGATAATAACTCGGATAATAATAAGCTATTTTTGCCTCTACTAGTTCTCGTACATCTTCTATGTTGGGGCTTGTAAAGCGTTTTGTATTCTTATTGAAAGATTAAGTTTGCAGGACTCGATATTTTCACATAGGTTTTATGCTGCAAACCAAATATTCTAACTTTATATTCCAATATTTCCGCGTTAGCCAATGAAAAATTCAATTTTCAAGTTCCTTAGTTGTTAGAAGCAAGTAATTAGGTAGTCTAGGTATATTCCCAGTCCTTTGAGTTGTTTTATCATAGAAAAGTTTATAGTTGTGATTGGAGATCAGCAGAAGGTACATAATAAGTATCTAATCAGCTTAGATTACTGCCAAATATATTCTCTCAATTATGTGAGGTACCACCAAAACCAATTTCTATGAAAACAGATATTTTGTTTCAACTGTTTCAAGATAGGTACATGATACATTAAGCAAAGAAAATTCAAAAATATACCACACTATGACCTCACTTAATGAAGCATGAGGATTATACAAGGCAGAATGTCTCCAAACAAAATTAGAAAAACAATGATGCTATATGCTATACTCATTGAACTATTTACTATAGGGTGGCACTATATTGTGCTAACATTTTCTATATCCAGGGACATGTTGTCTTTGATACTTTATTTTGAAAAATAATGCTCTTGTTAATTGGTTACTAGTGGGTGAAATTTCATCTGTTATTTGTGCAATATGTCTTGTGTTGTACTGGAGATCACTGCTGGTTTATTAATTATTATAATGAATGTGAATTGAGTCATCGCATAGGAATAGACTTTTTCTCCATGACCTCCACTCACTCACTGCAAATGGGTGGTAAATAAATTCTTTATGCTACTAATTGCTACAAGCTGCATATGGATTTGCAACATTTATAAAAGTATTACAGAGCTCTTTATCATCATGATTCATGATAATTATCCAGCTCAACATAGCAATAGTGTTTATTCGACAATTTCCACTACGATGGACTCCGTACTAGACTACTAAAAAAAGATAAAGTTCAATAAAATCATTCAAGCAGAAAGAATAGTGAACTCGTGAATTTTTGTGTTTTCTGAAAAATAGTAGGATTTATTTGAAAGAACAGTTATTCACCTTACTCTCTATAGCAGTAACTAATTATTGCACTCTAGAATCACCAAAACTATCAAAATCAAAACTTTTTGATTTTTTCTTTTACATTTCACTCATTTCATTTCACTGATTTGACGTTTTGACGTTTTGACTGACATCTTTCAACATTCATCATTTTTTGACATGTTGTTGACATTGACAAATAAAGGTGGACAGAAGACAGAACAAACATTATATTTTCGTGTTCCGTGTCAAAACTGAAACTGTTTTCCACTGAACCGAAATTATGCACTTAGTGCTAGTACTGCTAGTGCTATCTATCTTTGATTGACTACATATTATAAACAAAGATAAAAAGCACCGAATGCGGAAAAAGTTCCAGTGCGGCAAGTGGAAAACGATATAACCTATTATTTTGCAGTCAAAGTTGACAGTTGACTTTTAGTTGAAGTCTCACTTCTCAGCAACATATCAAAACATAACAGAAACATATGGTGTTGGTTTTCCTTTCTTGAAATTTTCAAAAAATAATTATCATGGCAGATTGGGAAGAAGTAAAGCGATTGGCAGCTGATTTTCAGAAAGTCCAGCTAAGCTCAACAACCCAAAAGTATATTAATATTCAATATTTCACATGAAGCTCTGTTCCTTATGCAATGATTTCATTGTAGATTATCGGAGAGAAACTGCATTGAAATAGTATCATGGTTGCTGGAGAGGAAAATGGTAGATTTAATCTTCACAAGCGATGGAAAAGAATACCTGACTCCTTCCCAACTCGTCAGTGATATCCGTGGAGAACTATATGATAGTGGTGGCAGAGTGAACCTTGTAGAGTTAGCAAAGACCATAGGGGTTGACTTGGCACACATCAATAATCACATGAACGAAGTTCTTAGAAGCAATAAAGAGATTCAGTCAATATTGGGGCAACTCATTGATAGGTGAGTCTGTAGAGTGTGTAGACAAAGACAAACTGAAGATCAAGATCATTAAAAAATTACAGATATTTTGCATAAATCCTTTCTGGGACCTTTTAAGGTAATTTCACACTTATTATGTTTTGTATTTATCTCCAAATTTATTTTTGTTAGGTATTTTTGTCTGAAAAACAGGACTTTTGATGATGGAAATGTGAACAAACCATTATTTATTAAGATATTTCACTTTTAAGATACAAATTTCATCTTCTTTTCTGCCTGTCTTTTGGATCACATTTAGAATAATTTGCCCTTCTTTTTTCATCATTAGACAACGAGGGGCAAACAACTCCCATAAAATGTGTACACCATATTAAAAATATTTTGTATTCCTGAGTAATTGAGGTATTTGAAAGCTATTTGAGAGTACTTAAAATAATGAATGGGTATTGAAAAATATTTAAAATACTTGAGAAACATTCAGAATATTCAAAAGTAATTAATAGATATTTAAAATATTTAGAAGTAATCAAGTTGTATTTAAAGATATTTGGAGGAATTGACTAATATTTAAAGTATTTTTGAGCAATGAATAAGTATTTAGATGTATTTAAACTAATTAAGAAATATTTGAAGATATTTAAAGTAATAAAAATAACTAAAATAATTGATATTTCGGTTTTTAATCTCGATGCCCCACCAATATTCAAATTATTTTGAATGAAAAATGTTTGCTGTTATCTTTGTGGATATAATTTGGTCAGTGAGTAACTGTGAATTAGCAGTTCAGAATGGATTTTTAAAAATACATTTTTGACGTTTATACAGGGTGGGTCCCGGTCGATTAGACGTTTATGGAGAACGGGACATAGGTCATTCTGAAAATCTGGTGAGTCAAGTAGTTGCCGCTTCTATCGAAAAGTAGCAACAACTTTGATATTTCAAATGGAATACCCTATATTTTATTGCATATTTAGATTCTACCTGCAGAGCTGGTTTCATCGATATATCACACTCGGGGTCTAGCTGGAACGATTACAGAGATATAGGGTGTTCAAAATCGAGATTTTTCAACTCTGGGATTTTTTGTGTTGAAACTGTTCATTATTGGTCAAAACGGATCACAATATTTGCAATTTCTACAATTTTCAGAAATTTTTCTAATTTGCAAAGATTGAAAAAATTCATGAAAATTGCAGAAATTGCAAAAATTACAAAAATTCCGGAAAATTGTAAAAATTCCTAAAAATTCCTGAAAATTGTAAAAATTCCTGAAAATTGCAGAAATCGCAAATATCGCAAAAATGCTTGAAAATTGCCACAATCGCAAAAATGCCTGAAAATTGCAAAAATTCCGGTGAATTGCAAAAATTGCACAAATTCCGGAAAATTGGAAAAATTCCTGAAAATTGCGAAAATTGCAACTTTCAGGCATTTTTGCTATTTTTGCACTTCAGGAATTTTTACAATTCTTAGTAATTTTTGCAATTTATGCAATTTTCAGGAATTTTTGCGATTTTTGCAATTTTCAGGCTTTTTTGCGATTTTTGCAATTTTCATGATTTTTTGCGATTTATGCAATTTTCAGGCATTTTTGCGATTTTTGCAATTTTCAGGAATTTTCGCGATTTTTGCAATTTTTGCAATTTTCAGGAATTTTTGCGATTTTTGCAATTTTCAGGCATTTTTGCGATTTTTGCAATTTCCATGATTTTTTGCGATTTTTGAAATTTTCAGGAATTTTTGCGATTTTTGCAATTTTCAGGAATTTTTGCGATTTTTGCAATTTTCAGGAATTTTTGCGATTTTTGCAATTTCCAGGAATTTTTGCGATTTTTGCAATTTTCAGGCATTTTTGCGATTTTTGAAATTTTCAGGAATTTTTGCAATTTTTGAAATTTTCAGGCATTTTTGCGATTTTTGCAATTTCCATGATTTTTTGCGATTTTTGAAATTTTCAGGAATTTTTGAGATTTTTGCAATTTTCAGGAATTTTTACGATTTTTGCGATTTTCAGGAATTTTTGCGATTTTCGCAATTTTCAGGCATTTTTGCGATTTTTGCAATTTCCATGATTTTTTGCGATTTTTGAAATTTTCAGGAATTTTTGCGATTTTTGCAATTTTCAGGAATTTTTGCGATTTTTGCAATTTTCAGGAATTTTTGCGATTTTTGCAATTTCCATGATTTTTTGCGATTTTTGAAATTTTCAGGAATTTTTGCGATTTTTGAAATTTTCAGGAATTTTTGCGATTTTTGCAATTTTCAGGAATTTTTGCGATTGTTGCAATTTTCAGGAATTTTTGCGATTTTTGCAATTTCCATGATCTTTTGCGATTTTTGAAATTTTCAGGAATTTTTGCGATTTTTGCAATTTTCAGGAATTTTTGCAAGCCATGATTTTTTGCGATTTTTGAAATTTTCAGGAATTTTTGCGATTTTTGCAATTTTCAGGAATTTTTGCGATTTTTGCAATTTTCAGGAATTTTTGCGATTTTGCAATTTCCATGTTTTTGCGATTTTTGAAATTTTCAGGAATTTTTTGCGATTTTTGCAATTTTCAGGAATTTTTGCGATTTTTTGCAATTTTCAGGCATTTTTGCGATTTTTGCAATTTTCATGATTTTTTGCGATTTTTTGCAATTTTCAGGAATTTTGCGATTTTTGCAATTTTTGCAATTACAGGAATTTTTTGCGATTTTTGCATTTTTCAGTCATTCTTTGCGATTTTTGCAATTTCCATGATTTTTTGCGATTTTTGAAATTTCAGGAATTTTTGCGATTTTTGCAATTTTCAGGAATTTTTGCGATTTTTGCAATTTTCAGGAATTTTTGCGATTTTTGCAATTTTCAGGCATTTTTTGCGATTTTTGAAATTTCCATGATTTTTTGCGATTTTTGAAATATTCAGTAATTTTTGCGATTTTTGAAATTTTCAGGCATTTTTGCGATTTATGCAATTTTCATGATTTTTTGCGATTTTTGCAATTTTCAGGAATTTTTGCGATTTTTGCAATTTTCAGGAATTTTTGCGATTTTTGCAATTTTCAGGAATTTTTGCGATTTATGCAATTTTCAGGAATTTCTGCGATTTTTGCAATTTCCATGATTATTTGCGATTTTTGAAATTTCCAGGAATTTTTGCGATTTTTGAAATTTTCAGGAATTTTTGCGATTTTTTGCAATTTTCAGGAATTTTTGCGATTTCTGCAATTTTCAGGAATTTTTGCGATTTTTGCAATTTCCATGATTTTTTGCGATTTTTGAAATTTTCAGTAATTTTTGCGATTTTTGAAATTTTCAGGCATTTTTGCAATTTTCAGGAATTTTTGCGATTTTTCCAATTTTCTGGAATTTTTGCAATTTTCAGGCATTTTTGCGATTTTTGAAATTTTCAGGAATTTTTGCGATTTTTGAAATTTTCAGGAATTTTTGCGATTTTTGCAATTTCCATGATTTTTTACGATTTTTGAAATTTTCAGGAATTTTTGCGATTTTTGCAATTTTCAGGAATTTTTGCGATTTTTGCAATTTTCAGGCATTTTTGCGATTTTTGAAATTTTCAGGAATTTTTGCGATTTTTGAAATTTTCAGGCATTTTTGCGATTTTTGCAATTTCCATGATTTTTTGCGATTTCTGAAATTTTCAGGCATTTTTGCGATTTTTGAAATTTTCAGGAATTTTTGCGATTTTTGAAATTTTCAGGAATTTTTGCGATTTTTGCAATTTCCATGATTTTTTGCGATTTTTGAAATTTTCAGGAATTTTTGCGATTTTTGCAATTTTCAGGAATTTTTGCGATTTTTGCAATTTTCAGGCATTTTTGCGATTTTTGAAATTTTCAGGAATTTTTGCGATTTTTGAAATTTTCAGTCATTTTTGCGATTTTTGCAATTTCCATGATTTTTTGCGATTTTTGAAATTTTCAGGAATTTTTGCGATTTTTGCAATTTTCAGGATTTTTCGCGATTTTTGAAATTTTCAGGAATTTTTGCGATTTTTGCAATTTTCAGAAATTTTTGCAATTTTTGCAATTTTCAGGAATTTTTGCTATTTTTGCAATTTTCAGGAATTTTTGCGATTTCTGCAATCTTCAGGCATTTTTGCGATTTTTGAAATTTTCAGGAATTTTTGCGATTTTTGAAATTTTCAGGCATTTTTGCGATTTTTGCAATTTCCATGATTTTTTGCGATTTTCGAAATTTTCAGGAATTTTTGCGATTTATGCAATTTTCAGGAATTTTTGCGATTTTTGCAATTTCCATGATTTTTTGCGATTTTTGAAATTTCCAGGAATTTTTGCGATTTTTGAAATTTTCATGATTTTTTGCGATTTTTGAAATTTTCAGGAATTTTTGCGATTTTTGCAATTTTCAGGAATTTTTACGATTTTTGCAATTTTCAGGAATTTTTGCGATTTTTGCAATTTTCAGGCATTTTTGCGATTTTTAACCTAACCTAACCTAACCTAACCTAACCTAACCTAAGATATGTTACTAGATCTAGTAACCTAACCTGGGATATGTTACCAGATCTAGTAACCCAACCTTAGATATGTTTACAATTTTGAGGAATTTTTGCGATTTTTGCAATATTCAGGAATTTTTGCAATTTTCAGGCATTTTTGCGATTTTTGCTATTTGCAGCTATTTTTTCAAATTTTTACAATTTTCAGGAATTTTTGCGATTTTTGCAATTTTCAGGTATTTTTGCGATATTTGCTATTTTCAGGAATTTTGCAAATTCTGCTATTTTTGCAATTTTCAAGCATTTTAGCAATTTTCATAGATTTCCGCAATCTTCAGGAATTTTTGCAATTTTCTGGAAATTTTCCAATTTTCAGGAATTTTTGCGATTTTTGAAATTTTCAGGAATTTTTGCGATTTTTGCAATTTCCATGATTTTTTGCGATTTTTGAAATTTTCAGGAATTTTTGCGATTTTTGCAATGTTCAGGAATTTTTGCGATTTTTGCAATTTTCAGGCATTTTTGCGATTTTTGAAATTTTCAGGAATTTTTGCGA